TAGGAGAGGCAGCGGCAGAGGCAACGGCATCTGGTAACAGTGTGGCATGTTCGCAGGTGCTTTGGCTTTTAAAGTGTGCTGCTTGTATTTAATCTAATCGAATCGAATCGAATCTCTTGAAAGGGGGAAGTCATGTTTAGGATATCCCAAATGTAGCGCAAGCCTTGAGATTCAGCAGCCCATTGGATTGCAGCTTTGAGCTGGGATCTACACGACGAAAACTGGGCGGGAAAATAGGGCAAAATGCTTGATGAAGAATAAACGCAGTGGCACTCAAGTGTGGATATTTTAATGAAAGTTTTTTAAGCCACAAAACAGAAAAATATTTCACGGCTAGAAAGTCTATTTGGTTGGATCATTACTCAAGAAGTTCTTGACACGGATTTCCTCATCAGATCATCTGCTGATGATTTGCATAAGAAAGATCTTGGATACATTTTCTGCACAAGATTCTGGGACAGATTCTGGCAGTGTCCGGCTGCCAGAATGTCAATTTGTAAGTTAATAAAATATGTTTTAATGCAATAAAAAACGAGAAGGAACGTGTGAGTCGCTTCTGGGGACGCGACTCTACTCATACCCGTACTCAGTCAGTTTCCTTCTCTGCGTTACACACATCCACTTTTACCACAAATCTAATATACCCCTTAACTCTTTTTTCAGTACGGGTATAATAATTGTATTTAGTACTGCAAGGCCTTCCCCTTTAAAGCCACAGCTGAAGCTATTTTACACTCGACATTTGCCTTCAATGGAAATATGTACATCCTCCAGGAGTATCCTTCCTTGTCATAGCCATCTAAAGCATAAGTAGATTTCCCATTCTTTTCCATAAACTCAATTCAATTTGATATTTATCCATCACACACACACACACACACACACACACACACACACACACATTCAGTTCCATTTGGAAAAGTTTCCCTGGCTGTTTCCCTTTCGGCTTCATGATTTATAAACTTTTAGCATATCATTCACCCATAAATCCCGCAACCACACAGTGAATCTCCTTTGGTTTTCCATGGCGGCATCTGCAGCTCCTTTGGCTTTCCATGGGGCATCTCCATCTCCTTTGCTTTCCACTGAGGCATCCATCTCCTGCCCTGCCATGAGGAAATAGTTGCACCCGCAGACCCCTTCGCTCCTAAGCATTTCTCTCCGCTGTCGCTGCTCTTGGATCTCCTTGGGTGGGGTGACAAAAATTAACTTTGCATGGAATTTAATTTACGTCGCTGGGACGATGATTTCCTGCCAGTGCTCCGGTGTCCTCTCTGTGTGTGTGTGCCCCACATCTCTCTCTCTCTCCCAGTAGCTAGAGCTGAAGCTGCTTCCGTCATTTCCTTGATGTAAAGGCTTTTGCCTCTCGGATTCCGTTTGCCATTTTGTGGAGGCGAAGGCGGGTGGCGAGAGGCGGCGGGAGTGGAGGTTGGCCGGCGGCAACCGTCACGCTTCCTGCAGGATGCGACAACGTAGAGATGTCCAACTCTCGGTTGCTGCTGCACCATCACTCCTACCCACCCGCCCCCATCTCTGCTCTTCCGTTTATCCTCCCGTGTCCTGTTCCACTTGTGTTGTTCTGTTGCTGGTGCTCGTCCGGGGTCCTGCCTGACTGCCTGCCTGCCTGCCTGCCTGCCTGACTGCCGGGTGCTCGTGCCTCGTGCCTGCCTGTCAGTCGTCGCTGTTTACCCGCTTTAATCAAACCATCCAAATCCACATTCATGTCCATGTTTTGTGCTCCCTGCCACCCACCCCCCCTGGCTGCCTGCCTGCCAGCCTGCCATCATCATCCTCCTCCTCCTCGTCCTGCTCGTCCTGCTTCTGCTGCTGCTTCCTGCCCCGTCACTTCCTTGCAAATGCTGCAGCTTCCGTTTCCGGGATATAATGTTCATATTTTCGAGGACATTTTCAGGAAATAAAGTACGTCGCCCTCTGCTCTGCATCCCCCCCGCCGCCACCATTCGCTCGGGGATAACGATAACACACACACACACACACACACACACACACACAAAAAGAGAGCAAACCAGCCACCAGCCCCCCCGCACTCAGCCTGCTGCCACCCACCACTAGTCACTTCCTCTTTGGGAGAGAGTCCTCCTGGCTTTCGGGCAGGAAACTTTTTGCCTTTTTTGCCTTTTTGCCGTGTGCGCATTTATGCCAGCCCAAAACTCAATGTGGCACAGCCACCCACTCAGCCACACCAGCAGCAGCAGCAGCACTCACACCCCACAACCCACACCCCCCTGTGTTCTCTCTCTTATTTTGCTTCCGCAGTGGCAGCAGGATGCACCGCACCAGCAAGAAGAAGGACTCTCCAGCTGCCTCCCTCGCTGTGTTGCCTGCGAGTCTGTTTGAATTTTGTCGCACTTCCTGTAGGTAGGAAAAGCTTCGTGCGTCTTCCGCTTTTCCTTCAGCTGCTCATCAGCAACGTAATTTCCGCAAAAGGTCTCCAACAGCCACTGCCACTGCCACTGCCACTGCTCTGCCCTGTCTCCCCCTCTGTGTGTCTCCTCTGTCTGTCCCTCTGTCTGTCTGTCTGTTCTTGGGTGGGCAGGATTAAGTCCAGACAGAGGACCTCTCTCACTCACTCCTCTCTCTCTCTCTCTCTCTCTCTCTCTCTGTGTGTTTATTTAAGCCAAATGCCTGAAATGCTCGCCACTGAAAGTCAGAGTTCAGGTTAATCAAGTATCAGATTGCTTTGTGTGTGTGTGTGTGTGTGTGTGTGCAACAAGTGTCAACCCTTGCCCAGAACCATGACTCCACCTTCGACTCCACCTTCGACTTCACCTCCAACTCCCCTTATGGCTGCACACAGGTATCAACGACTCTTGGCAGTTCATCAAATTCTCATGTGACCAAAAGCCAAGTAAGTTCAATTCATTCGAAATTTGATATGCGCTACACATATTTAATGACTTCTTCTTTCTCCCTCCCTGTCTTTTTTCGGTGGGGGGGCGGGAGAGATTCGATGAACTGCCAACGATCCCAATCCGTTTCGTTTCGGATCCCCTGTTGCACCCACCAGCCAGCCAGCCAGCCAGCCAGCACAGCACACAAGGCGGCACTTGTCGCGCACACATTCTAGGGTTGGGCAAGCCAAGCAACAGACAAATGCCGCGGATATTCCCCATTTCCATGTCCAAGCCTCGATCAACAGCGGCGACCTCTGCACGTGATGGAACGCCGGACAAAGTGGGAAATGGGGAATGGGATGGGATGTGGCAGCAAAAAGATGCATGTGGCATAAGGAAGGTTGTTGTCTGAGAGAGAGGAAGAGAGAGGTGGAGCAGCAGCAGTGGCACTTTGTGGTAGCAATTCTTTTTTGTTGTTTTTGGGATAGATGTTGCGTGTTTTTGTTTGTTGCCTGCCACGCCCTGTCCGATCCGATCCGATCCGATCCCAAAACACTGCATTTGTATGCAGCGCAGCGGATGCGACGGTCCAAGCGTTTATTTCTTCATTTCTTGAGGCAAATGATGTTCCAAAACCCCCACCAGAGGCCGACACAAGGCTGGATGGAATGCACTAAAACCGCTAGCTAAGCAACGAAACCCCAAAAGAACCCGAGAGTTACGGAGCAGGAGAAGCAACAAGGCGAACGGTGGATCGGTGGCATACAACAAGTGGGAGTACACTCGAGAAAAGATTACAGGAATTACAGGGAAAATTATACGAAATTTAATGGAAATTAAAACTAGTTTAAGGCACATAAATTGGGGGCAAAATTAATGAAGTTACTGATAATTAGGGTAAGTTGATGCTTAATGGATTTTGGAATTCGGCTAAGTTTTTTTACTTCTGTTGAGGTACACGAAAATTAAGGAATATTTAAGACATTTTTTGTAAACAAAATAAACATAATTTAGATTGTAGATTTCTCTACACGAAACACAAGAAACAACATTCATTTTTTAATTATTTTATTATTTTTAGTATCTTAGAAAAGTGAAACATGATCAGAAGAGGGGGGAGCAATAGTTCTCAGAGATATATCATTGAACAACCCTAATAAAATAATAGATATGTAGTACATAGGTATTTTTATCAATTGGAGCATTTCTATCGAGGCACATGTTCCAAAAAACTAATTTTAATATGCTCTAAAATTATTCATATCGCTAATACCTTTGTCTACCCATTTGCAAAAATATTGAAACTGATAGCCACTCCTGATATTAGCCAGAAGATGCTCTTTAGAGGCCTTCGAAATAATATCTTGCAAAGAAAACGAGCAAATTTCTTTAATCCATGTTAATACTAAAATCTCATATATATTTATGATAAATTCCAATATCTATTAATATGTCTTCCGATATGTTATTTATATGCACATTTTTCCTAATCCATTTCATTTTCCAACATATAACTAATCCCCCAATATTCCCCTACCATTTCTCGCAGTGTAGAGTTCTTGTTATTTGAAACCCGGATTTACACCACCATTAAAAAGAAAGAAGAACAACGAACAACAAATTACTTTTACCGATCACAAAACACAAAACAACAGAAGAAGAAAAAAAAGGAGAAATAAACCAAGAAGAAGAACAAAACCCGGCTGCGACTGCGCAATGACAGCCCAGAGACTCGCCGCTTGGAGTGGAGTAGGAGCAGCAGCAGCAGCAGGAGGAGGTGGAGGTGGAGGTGGAGGAGCCATTGGAGGGATTACACCAACTGAATACAAATCCATAAATTAAATCAATGTGGAATTAAAATTTCCTATGTACGAATGCACTTGTCCAAAGGTTCACATCACCATTGAATATGCCCATCCAGAGTCGGGGGCGATTCATACGGAATACGGATTGTGCATGCAGAACGGAACATGCAGTGCGCTTGGGCATTGGAATGGGGACATTCTTTAGGGCGGAGGAACCTGTGGCCCAACCTCCACAATTATGGGGAATTCCGTTTCGGGGGAAAAGGTTCCTTTGGCGCCACACAAATAAATTCGATTAGTAATAATTCTATGAAACCATTTGCTGAATATTTTAATTGTTATAAAAATGATAACTTTAATAGGTTCCGATGTATGTATATAGGTAGGTTTATGTATGCATGTGTGTATGTATGTATGTATATTGCAAATAACTAGAACAAAGCAAAAGCCTGAATAACAAATTCCAATCTGTAGCACTCAAACGAAAGGCATAAAAATCTTTCCAATTAATGGAAATACAATGGTTTTTTGTTTGTTTTTTGTTTTTAGCACATTACAACTTGGCACTGTCTTTGCTGGGCGAAAGAAACCTAAATTTAAATTAATTCACAATCACTGCGAGTGTGCCAAGTCTTAGTTAGCATAAGAAGCTTATCCGAGTCCTATTACTTAAGCATACAACTTAGATATTTACACAAATCCTACAAATATTGAAAACTTTTTTATTGTTTTTTGTTTTTTGTTTTTTTTTGCTAATCTCCTGTGTAAAAACATGTTTGAATCCCATTGCGTGTATGTGTGTGTGTGTGTGTTCATGTTCGTGTTCAGAGCCAGAGCAGGCGTGTGTCCCCCCTTTGGGGCTGGGCCAAGTCTCAGAGACCCGTGTGACTCGTCTGCAGCTGCTCAATGGAGATGGACAATTGTTCAAGGCGCTGCATCAGCTGCAGCATATTCTCCTGCGCCTTGTTCGTGTTGAACTCGTTGCCATGCTCCAGGGAATCCTCCTCGGCGGCAGCCAGTTCGAAATGCAATTTGGCCAGACTCTCCTGCTGCTCCCGTATCTTGGTCATCTGGTCCATGGTGCAGCCAGAGCCTGCTTGTTTGGGGGGATGAAAGAAATATTATTTAATTAGTGGGCACTATTATCATTTCAGTTTCGTTTCGATTGAAGCCTCACCGAATGCCTTCAGCTTGCCCGAATGAAAGTCATCCAGCAGGCCGAGGAGTGCGCGTTCCATATGCTTCACATCGGGCACTTCGGAGACAAAGGAATGATGTTTTATTGGACGATCATCAAATTTGTCGCTATGTACGCTGGCATTTGGCATCGATGCTGCTGCTGCTGCTGGCGCGGCTGCTGTTGCTGTTGCCGTTGCCGTTGGCGGTACTTTGCGACGCTGCGATCGCGGTGTATTTGTATTGCTATTATTATTATTATTATTATTATTGCTACACGTATTGCTGGTGTCATTGTGGTTGGGTTTTGTGCTGTCATTGTTGTTATTCGTGGTGGTGGTGCTGGTGGCGGGGTTGTTGTTGGCTGTGACAGTTGGATCTGGTGATAGCCACTCGCTGCTCACCAATGTAATGGCATTCAAACTATTTGCACTGCTGTGTGTGGGCTCCAATGCATCGCCATCTTCATGCCAAATCATACGGGTGGGAGTGGTATTACATACAAAAATATAAGAAAAGAAAAAGCATAAACATACAAAATTAATAAACCAAGAACAAAATAATCATACAAATCTAAGAATTACACTAATTACAGGTATATATGAATAAATAAGGGTCCAAATATAAATTTTTATAAATATCAACGAAAGGACGTGCGAATGAATCGACTTGTGCTGGCACACAGAGCCTAAAGGAGCGACACAACCGGGCACATAGTTACAGAGAGAGGGCTAGGCGCCAAAGGAGAGCCATAGGTCGTCTACGCATAAGTAATAGGAGAGGCCTAGCGCCTGACAGAATCGAAAGGAAGAGGCCGCACGGAACTAAAAGGAGGGGCACAGCGCCATTAAGAACCTAAAGAAGAGGCACAGAGAGAACCTATAGGAGAGGCACAGGAGTACAGAAGAGACACACTACAGGTGCTAGGGAGGGGCTGGGGCTAGACAAAAGCAGTGTAATTTCAATTATTAAAATAATAACGAGTTATCGAAGCATGTGGGTGGACTGGGCGCGTGTCTAGATGGGCTGTGAATAATTCAGCGTTAATGTAGTTCCACCATATGGGGGTGACGACGAGTGACTCATAGCTAAAAAGAGGTGCGGTCTGTGGCTGGATGGACACCCATCCATCCGCGAGACAAGCTATTTCTTATCAATAAAACGAAAGCAGAGACAGCTGACACACCAAATACCAAATACCGTGCGTCCATGGCAACTGGAAGATAAGGAGAAATCCATGAGCAAATCTGTTTGCAACGGCTAGCACCTACCTTTGAGCAATTTGCGTGGCCTCGTTTTGAACTCGAAACGTTCATCGCCAGCACCACCGCTGCCGCCCTGGGCCTGGGGGCGTGCTCGTCTCTCATTTACATAGGTCACCTTGGTGGCAGTGGGCTGTTGTCCCTTCTCCTTGTCCTTTTCGGATATGGTACGCTCTATGGAGCAGGAGGCAGAGTTCCGGCTACGTGTGGTGTCCCCACTGGATATGCCTTTGATTTTGATCTGGAATATAGATATATAATGAATATATGACGAGGAATTTGTTCAGGGCGTAGGATTTAGACGGGGTTTGGGTGTGAATTCTTTTGTTTGGTGGGGAGTGGGAATCTTTACATTTGGCACCGCGGGCGAGGCAGGGGTTTGAGCTGATTTCGGTGCGCTTTGGCTTTGAGCTTCTTCCTCTGTTTCCACATCGTTTGGCACGAGTTTCTGGCGTTCTACCACTTCGTCATTAGGCTCCATTTTCCTTTTGTTTTGCTAAATTAAACAATTTTATTTTTTATATCGAATCAATCGCCAATCGAATATCGATATACGTTGGTAATATTGCCAGAGCTGCCAGATCGCTTCGTAAATCTAATATTGTCCAAATCAGTGTTGCCTGGCTGTAAAAATAGCTGGTTTTGTGGGAATAAGAAAACAAAATAAACTTTGCAGCAAAGCCATACAAAATTTTGCTTTATATTTAGGGTTGAACAATTTTTATGGCGTACAACCCATATGCTTAAATAAAATGTATGTCAAATAAAAATAGCAATTAAATAACTGCTCTTTGGAGATAGTCTTTTCTAATATATTGTCGTTGCTCATACCTTATCCTTGCGGCGCAATTAAAAGTTCAACTTCAAGTTCAAAGCTTGAAACTTTCAACTTACCTTAATTTATGACTGGTACTCTCCAGGAGTGGTCCCAATTATATCTCCAACAAGATGCTAGGCCAAAATTTATTGTAAAAATAAAAGAACCGCCTCTGGGAGCGTTCGGACCAGGTTTTGTGGAATATTTAGTAACAAATTCAATTTTTTTTGTTGCGAGCGCTAATAATAACAGAATAGAAAATACCGAAGAAGTGATTAATAATAATATAGTCCAAATAAACCAAATCGAAGCGTCAGCTGGACAGCAGCAAATTAACAAACAAAATTTGAACAAAGTTCAAAAATTAGAATGTGAAAAATAGCAAAAACTCATAGTTGCGTTTTAAAAACAGTGTTGCTCTGCTGGATTTTTTTGGAAAATTTCAATGGGCGGGTATTCAAAATGTAGAAATCTCATGCATTTAATAATATAATCATTTTAAGTTTCCTTTGCTTTAATAGACAAAAAATGACATGTAAGCGCTTAAATTAGGCCTTCTTCTTGGTAAAGCCCATTGTGTAGATCATATGGACAATGCTGACCAGTCCGAGTCCGCACAGACCCGCCGTAATGCCAAACAAGGCCTTGTCAATGGGTCCACCTTTCAGGAAAACAGGCACATCGCTGACAGCCTGATGAAAACTGAGTTATTAAATATGATTTACTTGGATTACGAGTTAATAGCTCACCTGGAAAACCTTCATTTTGCTAGACAATCCCTCGGGCAGCGCCATGGTCTCTTTGATCAGTTATGTAATTGCTGAAAAATTTGCAATAAAAGCAATATAAAAGCAAATATAAGAAGCTCAAAATATTGTTACTTTTGAACGAATTTAAAGCAATATTTATTCCTTGATTTAATTTCGTTTTATTCCACTATAAATAATCTCTCACCTTAAGCAACTTCTGTGACAACTTACGAATCGCAATATACTTGCTGTAATTGCTTTGTAAATTCTAAAAATAGACTCAAACACAGATGTCTTTGACACGAAAACTGCATTCAAGAGTTGTCAGAGGCTGCAGCGAAAATATACTGCCAGAATTTGAATAACCGCGGGCTCCGCCAAACGTTAAAAATTCAAAAAGTGCGACGTAGAACAAAGAACATTCCAACGGAAAAATATATAATCACTTTATTTAACCATTTAATAACATTAAACGCTTTAAAACAATAAGGTACAGGCTGTCAAGGCATAAAGAACTAACAAAACTCAAAAGTATGGAAATACGAAAATTTTAACACAGAAAAAAGAGCTAAATCGGCTAGTATTTTGTTTAGTTCCCTTACAATTGCCATGCCGCGGAACGTCCAGTGTACCCGATTTATACGTTCCGCGCTATTTTGGCTTTTTGTGAATTTTTCAGCAGGCGCACAGCGGAAAAGGCACGCAGATTGCGTCATTTCTGCACTATTCGATTTTACGGCCGCATGTGAATGCAACACTGGTCGAGAGCGGGACGGCATATACATACATATGTATGCTCGTTCGCTCTTTTGGGGCGCGGCAAAAAGCTACGCACAGCCGTTGTCCCGCTCCCACACACATGGCGGATGGCGACGCGAGGCTAAAAAGCACTCCGAAGACATTTGGCGATATCCGTTTGCTGGGCGTTTATGTGCTCCTAGTGGGGATTACAATAATTCTACACCGAATGTTGTGCAATTTGGCGGTCGGGCTCCAAGCGGCCGGGCTTCATCAAATTTGTAGACACAACGAAAGGCGGCAAAGATTCCGTTAGATTCGATTCGTATTTCTCCATTTCTCGTCGTGTGTGTGGGGGTGGTGTTGGGTGTTGAAAAATATGGTTTTCTACTCGACGATTTCTTTTATTTACACAAGCAAAAAATGGAACTTAATTTTAGACCGACAGACAGCCGCCAAGTACTGTAGCAGCAAACAAATAATATAATTTCTTTGGGTAAAAAGCTGTTTAAGCTCTCGCCAAAAAACAAAACAAAAAGAAAACGCTTACGCTCGGATCGGTCGCTTTGTTCCCCCCTTTGCGACGACCATCGACCTGTTTTAAAACAAATACATATCGCCCTGCTAAAGCCTTCGACGATTTTCAGCGCCCAGCACAAGAACTTTCAAAAACTGTAGCTTCCATCAGAAATTAACTTGCCAAAGTTGCGATGCGGCTGCTTTTTGGTATTCCGAAACGAAACTTGAAAAAAGTTAAATCTGTCAAGTTCACCTCCGAGTGCTTTTATTATTATACATTCCCTATGACGGCAGGGGGACGATTGAAGGGGGGGGAAGTGTATTCACGAGTGTTCGGTTGGTAGGGCTGCGGCTGGGTTCTTTCTCTCTCTCTCCTCGCTCTCGAAAAGTTCCAAGCTAAATAATTCAAGTTCTGAACTTGTTTTGCAAGCTGCATCGTCTGACCATGTCTTGCTCTCTGTGTTCCGTCGCCTCTCTGAGTGTGTAAAAGTTCTGAGGAAATGCCTCTAAGAACTAAATCCGAAAGCGTTATATTTCAAACATATGACATGTATTCGTAGGGAAATGTATTTTTAGAAAGCGCTAGTAAGCCGTTAAAAAATGATCACTTTTTGAAGAAGAGTAAAACTACATGCAAGATATCAGCCAAGATCGCTAAAGACGCAGATACTTTGCGAACAGGACTCTGAAGACTTAAGTGATTCGAAAATGCAATCTGCGCTTCTACCACAAAGTGGTATAATCTCTGTATTAAAAATCATCTTAATTTTCACACATCCATCCCACACAAAAGCAACACACACACTTATAAATCCATTGAAAAGCGCTGTTAATGCTTTTTTGTGCTTTCCTTTGCGGACTGAAACTTTTATCAGAAATCCAAAAAGATGATGGAGGGGGGGGGGAGAGCTCCCACCACGCCCGACAACACCTTCATAAATGGAAGGCATTCTGAGATCCTCTGGCTTTTTGGGAAAAACCTCACGGTATACGGTTGCAAAACAAAGAGAGGGGAGAGATTGTTCAAGTAGTTGTGAAATACTATTGGGACAACAACTTGGACCTCTCCCTGAAACTATCGAAAGTAATGAACAGAGAGTTAATCGAGCTCTTCACAGGAGAAGACCTTGCTGACTGGCGTGACGCTTCGGGCGGGTTGCTGTTCAATTCAACACGTACAAAATAGAAAACTTTGTCAAAGTTGGCTACAAAAAGGAACTAAAATGCGAGTGAGTTTTTGAACGAGAAACCCGAATTGCATTCTGTTTTTTTAAATTATATGAATAAAAAAAAAATCTCTAATTAAAATAATTTTATCATATTTGATTTGTTTTGTAGATAATGTCAAAAATGTATCAAAAGAGCAGAAAGGTCGGCCACTCACAGTTCTGACGGCTGGCCTCGGGGGCCAAAGCGGGGAAATTACTGAATAGAGACATACTGAATTATTTTATTATTTCCATTTATCGAGGATAAGGAACAGGAAGACGAAGACGAGGAGAACGATGAGGATAACGAGGACGAGGACAAAGAGGAAAGCGCAGACTAAAATATAGACATACTGAATTATTTTATTATTTCCATTTATCGAGGATAAGGAAGAGGAAGACGAGGAGAACGATGAGGATAACGAGGACGAGGACAAAGAGGAAAGCGCAGACTAAAATAGAGACATACTGAATTATTTTATTATTTCCATTTATCGAGGATAAGGAACAGGAAGACGAAGACGAGGAGAACGATGAGGATAACGAGGACGAGGACAAAGAGGAAAGCGCAGACTAAAATAGAGACATACTGAATTATTTTATTATTTCCATTTATCGAGGATAAGGAACAGGAAGACGAAGACGAGGAGAACGATGAGGATAACGAGGACGAGGACAAAGAGGAAAGCGCAGACTAAAATATAGACATACTGAATTATTTTATTATTTCCATTTATCGAGGATAATGGTGAAGAAGACGACGAGAACGATGAGGAAGACGAGGAAAATGAGGAAATCGCAGACTAAAATAGAGACATACTGAATTATTTTATTATTTCCTTTTATCCTACATATTATCCTACACCACGGCAGAGTCGAGTGGAGCCGCCGAGAGTAGCACTCAATTGGAGCTCCCACCACGCCCGACAACACCTCCATCCATGGAAGTAATGCTGGATTTCTCGATAAACCTCACGGTACACGTTTAAAAAACGACGAGAGGGGAGAGATTGTCCAAGTTGTTGTCAAATACTATTGGGACAACAACTTGGACCACTCCCTAAAACTATCGAAAGTAGGTTTAGAGAGACGGAACGTAAGGACAAGGAAAAGGAGAAAGAGGAAAGCGAGGACGAGGACGAGGAAAAGGACGTACTGAATTATTTTATTATTTTAATATATCCGCCGTGGCCTGTGCAGCTGGATCCAGTGAACCATCCAACGCTCAACCTCAATATGTAATATTTTAATATATATAATATTTTGCCAACTACTTGGATGCAGAAGCATAGTGGAGGGTTTTGCCGTGACCACCATCAAGGAGAATATAATGTAAATGTTGGCAATGGAGCAAATAAGATACACAGAATTCAATGTTCAGTGTTCAAATGGTCGAGGACAAATGAGGCATCGGTTGTGAGGTGCTTCCTTTTATAGCCGCTGAATCGGCTTCGTTTTGCAAATGGCTGCCTTGTGTGTGTGCGTTACCACATTTTGGTGATGACACTTATTGCTAGGGGTGGGC